ACAAAGGAAAATGTAATTGTAACTGTTAAAGACATAGCACAATGATAACAGTAAGGAGAAGTAGGACCTTTCACAAGCTAGAATGAAAGGTGTACACTGAGCCAGACTTTTTGAAGACACATATCCTTTGCCACAGAAGCACCACTTCTAGAAATCTAGCCTGTAAGAGGCTAGAAATCTTTCCCTATATGCGCAAAAAGAGGTTTCTAAAAGGATGTTCATTCCAACATTACTTTTCAGAATTAAAAAATGGAAAAAACCTAAGTATCCAATAGTTAAGAAAAGGATAAAAACACAAGGAACATCCATATTTTAGATGCATTTGGCAATGTGATAGAATGACGTAGGTCTGTATTCTCTGACATGCTGGCAAGATGTTTAGCAGCTAATAAAAGGGGGGGATTAATGGCAGAAAAATATGTACGATAAGATTCTATTTTTGTTTTTAAAATCCATAGATCACAATATATAGCTAAAGGTAAGGAGAAGTCATAACCATCCTTAATCCTGATTATCTTTGAGGAGTGAGGAAATTAGAGAAGAATGAAGAACTTTTACTTTCTATATACATCTTCTTTCTTTAAAATATATTTCTGTGGGCCAGGCATGGTGGTTCTGTAATCTTAGCACTATGGGTGGTGATGTGGGAGGACTGCTGATGGCCAAGAGTTTGAGACCAGCCTAAACAAGAGTAAGATCCTATCTCTACAAAAATAATAGAAAACTTAGTTGGGCAAAGTGGTGTGTGTAGTTTCAACTACTCTGGAGGCTGGGTTGGGAGGATCACTAGGGCCCAGGAATTTGAGGTCACAGTGAGCTATGATGACACCACCATACCTAGCTAGGGCAAAAGACTAAGAATCTGTCTCTAATATATACATCCATATATATACACATATATACTTATATATACTACTGCATATTATTGCTTGAATTAGTGCAAGGAGAATGTGTTCATATATAGGTTCTGTTTTTATTTTATTTAAATATATCAAGCAATTGGTTCTAATAGCTATCACTGACATAGATTGCCATGGAGAAACTTAGAAATTTATATTCATTGTTTATATGGTTAAACCAATAATTCATTTATTTGAACAAGTCTATTCTACTCACCTCCCAAGTATTAGCTATTTCCTTTACACATCCTCACAACTCTACATGCCCTTTGCTTTCTATAAAACTTTCAGTCTGGAGGAAAAGAACCTAAAGGAGAGCTCTCTAAATACGACTCTCCAACAATTAGCCACATAATTTAAACCTGAGAAAAAGCAGGAATAGGAAACAGTTTGACTTCAGCTATAAAACCATAACAGTCCTAAGAAAATATTCCCCAAATAAAACATTTTATATATGATGGTATGTATAGCAGCAATATTTATAATAGAGGAATAAAATCAAAGCAACCTACTGCTTAATAATAGAGGCAGTTAGCTCAATAATATAACCACTCACTGGAATATTGCAGTCATTAAAAAGGAATTTAAAGACTACATAACAAGGCTGCACAAACTTTTCTTAACTAGACATAAAATATTTCACACTTATAGCCTGTATGGCCTCTGTCACACCTGCTTGACATTGCAGGAAAGCAGCCATAGAGAATATGTGGCTGCATCTAAAAACTTGTATCTATAAAGATAGGCAATTGTCCCACCTCCTTAATTTAGCACCCCCTCTATATAGCAATATGATTTACTGACAGATGTAAAAAAGCAATGTAAAAAATTACTATATCTTTACATTTTTACAATTATGCAAAGAAAACTGCATGGATATAGATAGGAATTTGCAGAGGTAAATAGTAGCCTCCAAATATAAACAAGGGCCATCTGCTTCTTGGGAAGTTCAGACGGCCATGAGATCTCACTTCATAAGCAGAGACAGAACAGAGATAGGATGTGTGCCTGAAACATGCCCCATCCCCGAGTATATGATGATTCCAACTACTTTTGCATACTCCAACCGTATCATGGGCCAAAACTCAGACAAATTCACAAATTCCAATTGAGAACCAACTAAAATTAGCCAGGCACTGTATGAGGTGTCATAAACAGAATCTCATGTGTCAGCATCAATAAGCAACTTCCTCATTCCGATCAGCTTCGCACACAGTACCCTGAATGAACAGGGTACATCTTTAATGAACATCTTTAATGTTACAGATGTCTACTGCGTGGTCTCAGGACCCCAGGAGTGTAATACTAGTCTGTACTTGAAAGTAGCTGGAAGAGATTGAGGCTATCTAGCTGCATGAAATGCTTTTCATGTCTACTACTCTCTTACCACAAGTGGCAGGCTCATCGGAACCATCACCACAGTCATCTTCTTGATCACAATACCACCGCTGAGGAATACAGCGCCCAGATGAGCATCGGAATTCACTGCTGCTGCATGTGTTAATGGCTGCAGGAGGAGAAAAAGGTAAGACCCATGAACAAAGCACAAGCGAGCTCTCATTAGTCTTGACAATCCGCCTGTATCTCTGAACTAAATAATAGTCACCAAGAAAGGAAGACTGAGGCAGGTAAGCATTCGGTAGCGGGGAGGAATACAGGAGAGAGAAAGAAGGCAATACTGCCCCAATTCCCAGAATTTTTTTTTTCTGGATTTGAGAAATCAAAAAAAGAAAGTATATGTTTTAAAAATACTGAAAAACTTTCTTTGTGATAAATGAAATCACAAATGAAGTGTAATGAGTCTTGGTTTTATTTTTTCCACTATAATATAAAATTAAATAAACTATACAGGGTAACCATAAAGTTGATGTGCAATTTAAATAGTTCCAACTATTTGAATCAGAGAGGCACGATCCATGACACACTACCTACAGATTCTATAGTAAGAAAGATATTTCTAACTGATATAGGAGATGGAGCCTGCTTGTATTGAATAGTAATTAAAAGCAAAACCAGTAGTATGACCATCTCTGAGTCATACAACTTTTTAGCCAAGATAGACCATGGTTCTAGAGAGAAGACAAAGTTATCGTCTATTCATCCTTGCAATATGGGGCTTTTATTTGAGTGAAGGACTGCCTAAGTTTGAACATTGATTCTTTCCTCAATTAACTCTATGGAACTCTGGTCTTGTGTGTTTTCTAAATTGTTCCATGGGTATAAACCTGAATCAAGTCTTACAATTCTTCTGGGCTCTGAGGCTCTCTTGCTCTTGGTCATGATATGTGAAGTTTTACCAAGGGGAAATAGATGGGAAACAGAGATCCCAAAAAGGTCAGCAATAACTCAAATCAGCCTAACCCTATTTCATCAATGCATTCTGAATTCTGCTTCCTGACACCACTGTTATTACAACAGATTCCTCTTCTTAGACTATAGACTGGGCTGGTGAAAAATTATTACAAGCCATTTGATTTCCTTGGCAGGGAACCAGTGATCAGAGTTTAACTACATATACCCTTAACAGGGAAGAGCAATTACTAAATTCTTAACTTACACATTTATTTATACTAAAGAGTTATCAGACTGATGAAAGGCTTCTTAATTTGAGCTATGAATACATTGCTAAATATGAAACAGAGGTTTCTGAAATTTTTCTGTTACTAATGGCAACTACAATGCTATTAAGAGTAAATTGTAAGGGTTTACAGTGCAGATTTTGCCTAAAGTCCATGAAAACAAAAGGCCGTCAACATTGGACGAAATGAGTCCTTGATTGTAGCGGATCATTGATAGAAATATTTGGGATCTAGGGATTCCAGCCAAGGAGCAGAGATGAGCTTCTCATAACCTCATAATCGCACACTAAAGCAATTGCCTACTGCATCTACTTACAAGGTTAATTTGAGATGACAACTGAAATTAGCCCAATCACCCCTGCTATGTATCTTTGTGTTGGTTTATCTGTGGAATGACAGAAAGAAAAGTAGTTTTACTCACTGCAATAAGTAGGGTTTTCATCACTCATATCTCCACAGTCATTGTCTCCATCACACAAGTAAAGGCGAGGAATACAAATGTTTGTATTCTGGCATTTTGTGTATCCAGATGGGCAAGTGCGATGAGCTTGAAAAAGACAACCAGATAAACATTTAGAACATATTCACCTAATAGGTATCATAAACAATGTCTGCACTAACAGATCTACTGCAGCACTCAAGCAAGGAAGGGAGGCATTTTCAGAGATAGATCCTACTATCAGAGAGACAGGATCCATGGTATACTACCTATAGACTCTATAGTAAAGAGAGATTTTTTTTTTTTTTTGAGACAGGAGCCTCAAGCTGTCCCCCTGGGTAGAGTGCCGTGGCATCTCAACTCACAGCAACCTTCAACTCCTGGGCTCAAGCGAGTCTCCTGCCTCCGCCTCCCAAGTAGCTGGGACCACAGGCGTCCGCCACAATGCCCGCTATTTAAGAGAGATATTTCCAACTGATACAGGAGATAGAGGATTCTTTGAATTTAAATCATCTGATTTCATTAATTAATGATAACAATAAGAGTCCCAACTCTTGGTTAAATAAACTATAGTACATCCACACAATGGAGTAACATGTGGCTATTAAAGGAACAAAGAAGATCCCAAAGTATTGGTAAGTAATGACAGACTGATCTTCTGGATATATAGTTAATGGCAAGAAAGCACAATTCAAAATAGTAAGCTAACTTTTGTATGAAAATAAAGGATGCAGAGGAAAGGAAAAGATGAAAGACTTCTGTAAATGCACCTTGCACAGTTTTAACTTTGGAACCATGTACATTACGTTGTACAAATAGAATCAGTGAAATAAAAAATGGGAAAAGAAATTAAAAATTGAAAAAGTAACAAATGAAGCTAACCGGGTATCAAGTTGAAAGCATAACCCTACAGAAAAAAAAAAAATGTGAAAGTCTTTCAAGCCAGTATCTTGACTGCAGATCTCTAGTGGACATAATCTAAAATCAAGAAGAATCTTGCATTGAGTAGATCTAGCATTAGTAGTATTATTCATGTGGGTGTAATAATTTTGAAATGATTGTAGGTATTTTGAAACTACTGTAGAATAAAACAAATAATAACCTATAATCTTAAATTTAAATGAGATTTAAATCAACATAGACTTATTTTTTCCCTAAAAACTGAATTCCTAGGCCTGACCATTGAAAAGGCCTAGAACTAATGAAAGCCCTAGAAATGAGCACCCAACACTGGTTATTTCTAAATACCACAAAATGAGGTCTTCTTGGATAAATGGCTAATTCTACTCTTTTGTTTTCCCAAAATGCTAAAGTACAAAGCCCAGAAAAAAATGGAAACATCAATGAATTAAAAAGCTATTTACCAGAAAAACTAAAGAGAAAAACCATTTGGTCAACACAGTATTATATAGTTTTTTGTATAATAAACACTAACTGCAAGGCTTATACAATAATTTCTGTTAAGTAACTATTACTAGCCTTTTTTCTAGCCCAGCCTCTACTGGGTAGAGTGCTGTAACATTACAGCTCACAGCAACCTCCAACTCATGGGCTTAAGTGATTCTCTTGCCTTAGCCTCCTAAGTAGCTGGGACTACAGGTGCCCCCCCCACAATTCCCGGCTATTTTTTGGTTGTAGTTGTCATTGTTAGTTGGCAGGCCCAGGCTGGATTTGAACCCACCAGCTCTGGTATATGTGGCTGGCTGTAGCTCTTTAAGCTACAGTCTGAAGCTTTAAAATAATCAAAAACTTTATCAAGGGAATTTTTAATCTAGCATATATACCAACCCAGGACAAAATACTCAAGGTTAAAATATTCAGCAGTTGTATTAGATCCATCAGTTCAAGTGAGTAATTCCAATATTAGGTGGAGTTGTTTATAAAGTCATTTAGTAGAATATATTAAACAAAAATTCATGTTTTCGATGAATACTTAGTTTTTTTTATGTTTTAGAAATCTTTTGTTTTTTATATAAAAAGTTCATCTCCCATGATCTAAGACTTCAGACCCCAAAACACAATAAGACTTATGATAAACTTACGGCAGTTTCTCTCATCTGAGGTGTTGTTATCACGGCAGTTGTCTCTACCATCGCAGACAAACTCCCGAGGTATGCACCTTCTATTATTGCAAGTAAATTCTGTAGTGGCATTACAGTCCCTGAACAGGCACCCGGCCTCATCACTGCCATCAGCACAGTCATTGTAGAAATCACAACGATAATAGTATGGGACGCATCGCCCATTGGCACAAGTGAAGGCTGTCGGCGAGCAGGTGTGAAATGCTAAAAAGAGGAAAGAGTATTGAAAAACCCCCTTTATTAAAGCATCATCCTAACTTCTAAAAAGATGCAATTAAATAGAATGGACACTTTGAGTTTACCTTCCAAGATAAAAATGGCTGCAAATCGGACTGCATGCAATGTGAGATAACACTTTGAATTAGTTATAGTAAAATAAGCTGCATACCTTCTTTAAATAAATGAGACATTTAAGCAGAAAGAAAACCCAACAGTCACTCTATTTTTCCATAATCTCAATTTATCTCAATCACAGAGAAGTATGCAAATACAGTTTATTTGGGGAAAATAAAAACTCCTGGCTTCTATAACAAACAGCCTGCTGGGAAAAGGAAGATAACCTCACAAGTCCCTGACAAAGTCCCACTGTCTTTACTCACTATATCCAGACGGAAGCTAAGGATTAGAAGTGATTTCCAGAAAAAGATTGAATTAGTGATTTTGTGCACGAAAATTAATAAAATAATACCAATCTCCCATTGGAGCCCTTAGTCCCATGCTAAGCCATGCTCAGCATGTGCTTATGCCAAGTGTCTTTTAACATACTGTTTCTCTTACTATTCACAAGAATCCTTGTTTTACAGATGAGTCATCTGAGGCTCAGAGAGGTTAAGTGACTTGCCCAGAGATGCACAGACTATCAATAGAATAACTAGGATTTTAATCCAGTGCTTTTGCTCTTAACCTCTACCAAGGTAACCTAACAGAAATTCAGTCTAGATTATCAGAATAAATGTTTTTCAGCTCTAATAAGATGCTCAGGCACAGAGTTCAAGCCCATTTACACACAACAGAATTCTACACCATAAATGCGGCATAAAGACATCCTCAGCTCCTCACAAAGTGCGACACCCAACTCACCACAGACATATTCTGCCTCATCGCTGCCGTCACCACAGTCATTATCCCCGTCACATTTCCACCCTTCCAGGATGCAGCGCCCATTGGCACAGGTGAATTGGGATACATTACACCGTATACCGTTGTCCACAATACAGAGTTTATTGTTGTTGGCCAGATACCAGTTGCCCTCATGTGGACACTGGCACTCGGCACCATTTGGACCTGAAGAAAAGAAGAAGTGAAAGACAAGTGTGTAACAACTGTCTCCTCCCGAGTAACCCTTGCAACGGCACCTGCATCAAATGCTCTCTAAGACAAGCCAGGAAAATTCTGCCCACTAACCGTTAAAGTATGTTCTGAGTCATCTTCCCATCAAGAGTAACTAGCAATTTCAAACCAATGTGCTAATAAACTCTAATCTGTCAATAATTATTTATCTGAAATAGCAATGACTCTCTCTTCTCAGCAAGATTTGCAAAGCAATGATATTGAAAGGCATGTCTTCCTATGAATTTATTATGAAACACACTAGGTAGCACCTAAGACCACAACCTCAATACCATAAGAGAAAAATACCTCTTAAGTAGAAAAATTACATCCTTTTATGAGGAAGGTAAGTTCATTGACAGAATTCCTATTCAGCTCATGAAGTGGGGCAAAGCCCTCATCTTCCTTTATACATCCAACAAG